TAAAAGAGAAGGAGTCTCATCTCAATCAATCCAAATATCATGGACCAAAAAATGAAATCTTTTGCAAATTCACCAAATTGGACTCAAACACACATGTTTAACTAATTCCAGGAGTCATTATTTAGCTGCTTGCTGCAAGGACTATTTGCTCACGCAAGTACTCAAAACACAAAAAAAATCCACTACGCAGCAAAGTGTTCACATATGATAGTCCTACATACAATTAGATGATTGCCGCAAATTATGCACAATCACACAATAACAAATTAGAAAGCATCTCTTTCGTGCAAATCTTCCAAAATTGCAGGCAAGTTACAGAAAGATTTTCATCATGGCATCAAAAGCTGAGAGAATTGTTATTCCATAAAACACAAGTTTTCATGTAAAGGGAGGGGTCAGATGACTTAGTTCTATGACCAAGACATCTCACGGAACAAGTGTAATAAAGGCATTTGACGGATATTAAACTGTAACTTTCCTAGTACTGATTCAAAGGGGGAGATTTCTTAAAATTATTTGCATGGATTCTGAACAGAATTATGCTAATTTTATTCTAACACTCTTTCTCCAAACCATCTATGCTCTTTTGGACGGAAAAAAAAAGGTATGACATCTGTGAAACAAGATGGAAGATAAGTTTTCCAAGTTGTATACGTTAAACACCATTTTGGGATTGGAAACACACAATGGCAAATAGTAGCATTACTTGTAAAAGTTAATAGCAGAAAATCTCTAAAGCAACATCCATGCATCTCTCTGAATCTCCAAGAGGAAGAAACTACTTGAAAAGTAGTGAGAAACAAACGAACTGTTGATTAGTGTAAAACTTATTTCCTTTTTAATGTATTAAAGAGTATAACTTCAGTAAGAAATAACAAAATCCAAAACGTTTCAATCATAAACAAATATTTTTGGGAATGTGGAAACCATATGTAAGCCACAGAGATGTCTGAAAAACAACTATCATTATTTCCACCAGCAACATGACACTTATCAACTATCATTTTCATGTACTCCTGAGTCACTCAAGAGCCTTTCTTTGGTACCTATGCATAAATGTCTTCAATTGCTTTGGGCGGATAAGTGAGGATGCAAAGAAAAATGAATAATTTTTCTCTTTCCCGTTGGTTTATTATATAAATTTGACGCCATATGTTAACTATCAATCAAAACAAGAATCCTCGGTTAATGTTTAGTTGATTAGTAACACCATATGAAGAAAACATATGACATCATTAGTTGGTTGGAACACAAAATCTACAGAATAAACTGCGGAATTACTTTCAAACAATAAAGAAATTTCAGAAACATCCGCAATTAAGCTAACAACCTTAGCTATCAGTCCTCTTAAACAAGAATTAAAATATACCATCCTAAAATTTAATTAAAACTTAGCACCAAACAAGATCTAGACTGAGAAGGCCAAAAAAAGAGGAGCCAGTTAAACTTATACACACAATTTAGAAGAATCAATTACCTCAACAGTCCAAATGAAAAAATCGAGAGGCTCCGGTGTTTGTTCTTTACTCATCTCCTCTTCGACCAAAATTCCCACACAAATCACCTAACATTTACAAAGCCAAACACAAACCTCAGCCACATAAGTTGAAATCAAACCCTGACGAAGACAACCATTTCAATTAACAAAAGCAAGAGAACGTGGGGAAAAAGGAAGAAATCAGTTTGATTCCCGGGAAACAAAAGGGGGAAAAGAAAACGAGAATTTTGAGAAGGAAGGTCTGTGTGAGGGTGACAGTTGTGAGATCCCAATTCATGATTGGCTTTTGTTTACTCATTTTTAATTATATTTTTAAAATAATTTTTTTTTTCTCGGGAAGCAAACGAAAGATATAAGATAGAGAAAGAGATGAGTGAACATACCCCTTATGACAAAAAGTGTAGAAGTTAGGGTTTGATTTTCGACATTTGACAGATGAGGGGTTAGGGAGAAGGAAAGCGAGAAACGCAGGCGGGGAGAAATGAAATAAAAAAGGAGAAACGAAAGCGAGTGGGGAGGAGAGTAGGGAGTTCGTAAGTTGTAAGACACACTTTTTTGTGTGTCTTCTTCAACAGAAGTAGTGGGTCCCTCCCTCCTTTTATTTATTTTTTTTTTTTCAGCTCAGAATTGTATGCTTGCGTTGTGTTTCTCCATTACTAAATTTCACCACGCGACTTCCACTCACGCGCACAAACTCGCTTTTGGTTTTCCCCTTTTTATTTGGGGGTCAAAGATAAGATTGTTGACTGTACCTTTTACACTCCCTTTTTTCACATTTTTTTACTGTTCCGCAAAAATTTAGAGAATAAAATCTTAAAATGGATTGTTTTTTCAACTAAATAAGACCAATTTTCCAAATTTTTACCCTGGATGAAGTGAAAATTTGTTTTGGATAACCGAAACAAATTTTCTTTTTTTTAAAGATAATTTATTGTTTTTACCTTATCTTTTAGTTATTTAAAATAGTAATAATTTAATTAATTTATTTATTTATTCTTTATAAACATAAGAATCAGATTTAACTTTTTTATAATAAAAAATTAATATAATCATATATGTCTTACAATTTTTAAATATCCTATTTACGATAATAGTAACATTATGAATACAAAATAATTTAAAATTCACTTTCATTTTTATGTTATAGTCTAATAATTTATTTCTCAACATTTTTATAAAATATTTCAGTAGATTAAAATATTACGAATAGTAATTTTTACCTTTATGAAAAATAAAAATTTTAACATCGTTATTATATAATTTTTATAGAGTATTTAAATAGATATTATTTTAAAATTATTTAGACTTAAGCATAGTAAACATAATGTTCATACTTCAAAGTACTATAAATTTGTGTGGATTTAAACTTTATGAAGGGTAATTTTCACCATTATAATAATCTCTTAATGTTATTGAATTTAAAAAAATATAAAGTTAAACGCTTTCACAAAATTTTTACTTTGGACTCACCTTAATCTGCTCATGTGGAAGGAAGTATGGTACGGCAAGTTAATATAAAAATCTCTTAAATATAAATAATAATATATTTGTCATACATATATATATATATATATATATTTTTTTTTAAGTATTATTTTTTTTAATAAATATTTTATCTTTATCTAAACTTATAATTATTTATTTTTAAATTAATTAATTTTTTATTTAAATAACATCACTAGTACCAATAAAATAGCATAAGATATGTAATTATTTTCATAATTAACAATGAATCAATCTAATAATACAAAAAAAAAATAATTAATAATTAATTAATAACCATGATTGTTATTAAAAGTATGGTAAAACTTAATAGTAAAAGTATGTACTACGATTTTATAACTTCAATTAATTATATTAAAACCAAGGTTGAAATACCCAAATGATTAATGTTTGATTTACATTATTTCGGTTTTCGTATGCACATACATACGATCTTCATTTTATTTCAAATTATGCTAAATTCAATTATCGATTTAATTTTGTTCTATAAAATTATGTTATTTTTGTAAAATTTATTTAAATAAATGTGTACATGTAGAGGTTTTATTAATGTTACATGTGTACAGATGTCAGTCAGTGTTAAAAAGTCTAGATTGGTCCCACTTTGGCCAACTGTGCTCGCATAACTAGAAGATTTAGTTGACAATCAGAAATAGGAAGCGGGGCCCATTTGGATGCCTGAGATGAACGGTATGTAAAGTTTGACCCGAAAGGTATGGGAAATCAACGGCGGGGATGCGGAAAATATGTTTTGATTGGATGGAAGTTGATGTATTGCACCAGAATTAGCATGCAGGTGCATGTGCAGCATGTGTTGATTAGCGTCGTTTCCGACCCTGATAATGGACCACGATTCCCATTTTTTATGCCTTCATTATTGACTTAATTCATTTGGGTACCAATTCCCATCTTTCATTCTCAACTAAAAACAAGTATTATATATATATATATATATATATATATATACACACACACACATATATAATCAACTTTATCACTATTCAAATAAATAATACATACCCAAAGAAAATTAAATATATATATATATATATATATTCTTTATGTTTCCAAAAATATCATCTACTATATTTATAGAAGTTAAACAAATTCAAATGAATTTGTGGCATAAGTGAAGTTTAGACAAAAGAATTGAAATTTTCTATTACGAAACTATATAAATCATCACGAGAAGGCCTTTGTAAGTCTTTTTTTTTTTCTTTTTTAAAACAAAAAATTTTAAGAAAAATTATTATCAATTGTGACCAACTATAATTGTTAATTTGATAAATTTAACTTTTTTAAATTACGGATAAATATTATTTATTAAAAAAATTATATTAATCACATATATATATATATATAAATTGTATATCTATCAATCTATAAAAATTTATTTGATCCATGATAATTTTCTAATTTTATTTTTGTTATTTTAATAAATGAT